AAGTGATCGCAAAAGGTAGGTGTAAAGCAACAACCATTCATGCAGTTAATGACTTGAGTACTTCAATTCCTGTGCAAAAACGCATGATCGCACGGGCCCGCCCGGTGCGTCCCAGCCTGGATTTGAAGTGCGACTACGCAACTCTGAATGAAATCAACAAGAATGCTCAGTTACTGATTAGCCATCGGTCCGGTTCGAGCAGCGAGTGTGCTCAAAAAATATGGAGCCTGCTTATACGAGTCGCCATGTATGCGGCCATCAATCAGCTTCGCAACTTCAAGGCTTGCTCTGCTCGAAGTGGATTCAAAGCTAGCGTTCAAAAACAGATTTTCGACGAAAAAAAAACATGTCGAAAGTTGTTCCTAACTTTAAGAAAACATTTTCTTGATTAGAAAAAAAAAGACTGAAAAAATTTTTTTCTTAATTTTAGACATTTCGCTTACTAAAAACGTAACGGGGGACACGATTTGTTTACCTTTTTAAGATTACCATGAGTCAAATCCGTAAAGATTAAATGAAAAGTTGAAATTAGGGGCAAACAGTGCATTGAAAGTGTTCCTTAAAAGAGCTTTAAACACATCTGTAGTGTAAAATTAGACTCATGAACACTAAGTCACACTAAATATACGAATCCTTAATAAATATGCACACTACTACATATTAAAAAGTCAGGCAAATGAACGATTGGAACTGACATTTGCTAACTAGAAAAACATATCTCAAGAATGAAAAGTTTGACACAGCTGCATACTAATAACGTAAATGAATACCCAGACTAACGACCGATCTTGGTAATCTTTTGTAGCGAAACTTGGCAACTGTACCTCTTTTTTTGCGAGGTGAGCTGCCAGCGTTAGAGGAGTTAAATTTTGATTGTTCGTTATCTGAAGTTTAGCGCCCATATTGTATGACAGCTTGATCATTTCCTAAATTGCTCAATTTCAATCAGTGAAGGAAAAGCAACATAAAGCTTCATTCCTTTTGCCAATACGTATTTTTGCACTTGCATAAATATGAAACCCAGGCCGAAAAGCACCAGGCGCGCCCTTGCGATCATGTGTTTTTGCATTGGGCTTGAATTATTAAGGTCATTAACTGTATGAATGGCTGATGCGTTACACCTCCCTTTTGCGGTCACTAGCATAAATCACCATAAATTTTGCAAAATAAATGTTTTTCCATTTAACAGTCGTTGTTTAAAAGTAACCTAGTTGTTCAGTGAGAAATTTTTCCGTCAAGGTTTTTAAGTGCCTGTACGTAAGAACCACGCACACCTCAAGGCTGAATTTGAAATACTTAAGTTGTATTTGAACAAGGAACATTCCCTCAAAATTTCAGCTTTCCAGCTTTTCTGGTTGCCGAGTTAGTAATTTCCCTGCAGAAATTTTCATATGCCTTTACGTGAGTACCACGCATAGCTTGGGACTAAATTTGAAATATTTGAGTTATACTTTGATAGGGAACACTCCTCCAAAATTTCAGCTCTCTAGCTTTCCTGGTACCCGAGTTAGCTATTTTCCTCCTAAAACTTTCATACGCCCTTATGTGAGTACCACGCACACCTGGGGGCTGAATTTGAAATTTTTGGCTAGTATATGCGCAGGGAATATCCCTACAAAGTTTCAGCCCCTTGACTCATGTGGTTCCCGAGATTGCTTTCCCGCCAAAAAATTTGCATATTTTTTTAAAGCATCCGTAAGCAGCACCCAGGCGTCCGCGGGAGATGGTATTAAAGTGTGAGGGTCGCGCATAGTATGGACACATACTCCCAAAGTTTCAGCCTTCTAGCTTTTCTGGTTCTTGAGTTGAAAGTGGGTGACAAAAGGTGCGAACACACAGACACACACGTACACACAGCCTTTTCTCAATATGCGATTTTGCAATTTGCACGTATGCAAAAACGCAAAAAAATAAATGAATCATAATTACTGGTTGCTCGTGAATGACTGCAAGGTGAAGCACAGTGTTTCCGTTGGTGTCTTTTTGATTCGGATCGGCTCGCTTGGCAATCAGCAGACGAAAGCAATCGGTTTGATTAATGCAAGTTGCAAATGATAAAGGATATTCGCCGAAATACATCCGCCTGAAGCTCACTTTTCCGCTACTCCATATTTCATTGATTTGTTCTCAAGAAGCGGGATAGTGCTCAGTTCATTTGTATCGAAATGGAACGTTCAGAATTAAATGAAAGAAAAGCAACAGGCTTGAGGAGAACAATTTCCTTTTTTCTGTCCACACTATTATGTGTTTAGTTTTCATTTTACCACTCTAGGCGACAACCACAGCTTTCTTTCCTCGATAGTCGGTCTTTTAATAATTTGCAGATGCAAAAGCCATAAAGTAGCACCGTGAAGCTTTACCCGCTATAACTTGTTTTCTGGCTTAGCTCGACGTATTCGTGCTCCAGCGAATCGGTTCGGCTGCTTTTTTGGTCATCTGGACAAAACGATGCGCCGTAGCAACGCTGATTGATATTTGCTCCTTGCTGAAGTAGAAAATTAACCATCGCCGGATCCTCATTTATAATTGCCTGATGTAAAGGCGATAAGCCTGAAAACTTTTTGACGATGAAAAACTAGTTACACCTACGAACATATGAAAGAAAGTGCTGATTAAAGTCATCGGAATAAGGTATCGTTCAAGCAAAATAGTGCCAGTGGTCAAAATTACTATCACTCGAATGTGTTTGGTTTACGTTGCTACATTTGCTATGTTTTCAACCTTTGGTCAATCGGTTCTAAAATTCTGCTGGTTCTTCGCCGACTTTTTTTCAAGAGATTTTTTGGTCAGTTTTATGAGCGAAACAAAGCATTTGAAAACATACCATAATAATTTTCGCTGATAAAAATATCGTTGACGAGTTTTGGGTAAGTAGTAATCAGGCGGCGCGCGAGCTGATTATGCACTGCTGTTCCTTGTAGCAAGCAAACTCCAACTAGATTCTCTCCCATGTTGCCACGCTCATCCAGCTTCCATGCCACCTCACGATACTTTGAATCTGCTTCTCCACGCCGTCCGCCGCCTTCCAGAAGTTTCAGTGCTGCAAACAATTTCAGAGCTGCTAACATCTTTGGACTCTTCATTCCTCATATTTTTTCGGTCACTTTAAAAAGCATTGGGCTGCAGCCCAAGTACCAGTGCGGTGCGCTTGCCGACATTAAAAAAAAAGTTTGCTGGACCAGTCAAAACTGAGCTTTCCGGCGATGCTTGGAACAAAAACTCAATTGATTGGTGCATTTCGTATACTTAGACGCAACTGCACCAAAACTTGACACCGAAGCAACGTACAGAGGTAGATTCTGACTAGCATAATTCAGTCAAACGACATCTTTTCAGAGCAATGCAAAAGCACTAGCCAAGTGTGGTGAAATTTTCTTCTTTTCCTTTTGGAAGCTTATCTTTTCTATGTTACAGTAGGAAAGGAGAAAAATCAATGACTTTTCACAACAAAATACAAGAGGATTGAACCTCTCAATCTGGTCGATTTTCTCTTTTAATAATCTTTATCGAAGCAATTTAAATACAGCAAACTTTCACTTCCCTTTATTCGGCTCCCAACAAATAGCTCGAGAATCCTTAACAGACTCCTCGATGAATCCACCACAGTAACAACTGAATGACCAAAAGTGACAACTGACTGACCCCTCGAAACTCCTCCAAACCCAACTGACCAATTGACTGAATCTTGCAGCTCGTGATTCCACAACTAACTAACCAAAAAAAAAGTGGAGCGAGGTCCTTTATATTGAGAATTTAGTCCCCACCTCTAATTCGGAATAATGACGTAGTTGGTGGAAGGTCAACCCACGGCAGTTTTCGATAAGAGCGAGGGAATTTACAACGTAAGCGAGGAAATTTACAACCTCGGCAATAGTAAAATTGCAATCATAAAAAGCCATGAAAAACTGCGCAATAATAAAAGATCACTGATTATTTGCAGCTGCCGCACTTCTTTCGCATCTTATTTTGAACTTATCCCTTTTTCCATCTTTTTTTTTCCTTTTCTTTCTTTCGTGAATATCTATTCAAGACGCCAATTTTGCGCGAGGAAGCATCCCCTAATTCAGCCTCTCCCCTTTCTCTTGATCCACCAAACCTGTACCGCTCTTTTGCCGTAAGACAAAAATTTAGTTCAATAATTCTGCGGCAGAAATTTGTCTTTCTGAGTATTTACTGGAAAGAATTGTCAGCAGTGAAAATCCAGTTTCGTGAGTTAAATTATCCAAGAAAGCTCTGCATTTGTTTCCCTCAAACCAATTTCAAATCGTGAATTCCGCCTGTACGAAGCTGCAAAGGCTCTGCTAGTGGCCTTATCATAATCAGTTTTCGCTGCGTCGCATCACTATTTCGATGAGGCAGTACTGAAGCTTTTCTCATCTAGGTACCTTTAGCACACCTGCCTTCATTCCTCTTAGTACGACAAAAACGATTATATTCGCAAAAAGGGTTTACTAAATATTACGAATGCTTGCAAAATTGTAGCAAACTTCCCAAAAATTAGTTGTAGCTGGCTCTTCCACGTTTGCTTTCTTCAAGCTTTTTGTTTGTTCTTGTAAGTATCTAAATCAAAATTCAAACCTTTTTTCAAATCTCCTTGATTTTCTCCTTCCTGATTAAAATCGTCCAGAATGTTTGGGCCACTTTTGCCTTTTCCTTTTTTGCGCTTCAGTGCACTCAACATTGCATTTCGCTCTTTGTTACGAATTTTTACAAGTTCAGCAACCGCCACCATTTTTCCTTTTCCCGAATTGTACATGAAATCCTTGATCTGAATTTCTTATGTAAAATTATCATAAATTTACAGATCCTTTTGCGGTGGGATGACACCGCAGAGTGAGTGATGCTGGATGATTTCAAATTCATAGCCTCGGCACTATGTAACTGTTTTAGTTTTGCGTTTAACTTATCAGTATTTGTCAACAGAAAGATACAGACTTTCATACAAGATGCAATTTTGCTACATCTCAGTTGTTCAAAAACTGGAAAAAGTGTTGCACCTTCGTATCGAGGAACTCATCGATGATCGAATAGTCACCGCTATTTTTGGCATATCTTATCCAAGGTAATAATTCACCACCACCATGCATGTCAACATAGCGATACAGAGGAGGCAAGTGGTCATTCTGATGCTGCTTCCCGTCCTCTTCCTTCGTTGACGATTCTCGATTACCCATCCACTACTGTAATAAAAAGCAGCCCTTCAAACCAATTGATGAGAGCTAGTGCTGCGTGAGAGTACGTGACAGTAGGGGTCACGTTGAAAGTAAGCACTTGCAACGAGAAGCGGTTTGTCTGGGAGCACCCTGGAAAGTTATGGTTAGGGCGGGGTGAATCACTTATACGTACATCACTAAGCAGGGCTTATTCTTTCATATTTTTATGCGTTTTTGCTGTGCTGTGCTAAAACGCTGCTGCAGTGATCAAAAACGCGTACTGGCGAAAACCCATACGTGAGTGTGTGTGTGTGTGTACGTGTGTGTGTGTGTGTGTGTGTGTGTGTGTGTGCTGAGATTGGAAGCGAGTAAACTTTGTCATCCACTTTTAATTCAGCAACCAGGAAAGCTGAGATGCTGAAATATTGGGGTCGTATTCCCACACTGTGTGTCATCCTCCAGTTTTAAAATCATCAGTCACACGCGCCTAAATCTTGCTTATAAGTCCTCGGAAAAGAAACGTGCGAATTTCATTGGCGGGAAACGGTTTCGGGAACCAGACAAGAAAGAGAACTGAAACTTTTTAGGGATATTCTCTGCGCATGTATGAGTTAAATATTTCATATTCAGCTCCCGCGCATATCTGCACCACGCGTACTATCATGCCAAAGTTCGCAGCTGGCAGTGTACCAACTCGAAAACTAGTCGGAAAACAGCAGCTGAAATTTTTTCAAAATATTTATCGTTCATATGGAAAATCGTATACTTAAATTGAGTTTCGATTTGCAGTTGAGCCAGAATTTAGGACACTTCAAATATATTAGTATCGAAGTGGCTATTTCTCTTATCGGGCAAGCTGCAAAGTTGAAACTTTGCTCTATTTTCATATGTGGTCTTAATTCACCTTGGATGTGAAATTTCCTGTACGCAGACATGACAAATATTCAATTTTATCGCAGAAAAGGGAGTTCATTTTGTGAATTTCGTAATTCGACTTCCTTCCAATTTACATTTTTTCGACGAACAACCGTTCACCAGAAAAACGCTTATGCAAAAAATCAGTAACCATGCGCAGTGTAGGTTCGCGCAACCCCATGATGCAACACTGCCTGTATGCTAATACTGCAACCTGTGTGCTAGAAAACGCTAAAACACAACCAACTTATGTTTGCGTGTTAAACTGTGACGCAGAAACGAATCATGCTTTTAACGATCTGACCGCTGTAAGTCTAGCGCTAAAAAACATGATGGCAGTCGTGGCCTGGTGTGTTTTTGCGTGGGCTTTGCGACGAATTGGGGAACTCCCGACCTGTGGTGTCTACTTGTAAGTTTCGACTTCCGGATCCTACGTGCATTGTCGATGTACCGGGAACACAGTCCCCAGTTGAGCACCTCGGATTTTACCCTGCACGGCTTGTAGGTAATTTCAACAACTTCGCAGCCACGCTACATGGCTTTCCAAAAAATACCGGAGCTTTAAATCCACCTATTTACCGTAAATATGTTTAAGTTAACATCGGAGATGTGTTTCTAGTACGAAGCAGCCCGGAATGCACAGCGGAGATCTGGGCCTGTGCTCCTTGTACGCATGAGTCGTACTAGCAATGTCCAGTGAATTGCAGAGACAGCACAAATCTTTGCTTTTTTTATGCGTTTTGTGCTGTGTAACAGCAGTACAAAACGCATACTGTCACGGGTTGTCTGTGTGTGTGTGTGTGTCCCACATTCTGTCCCGCACTTTCAACTCGGGAACCAAAAAGCTAGGCCGCTGAAATCTTAGTATAGTGTTCCCCGCCAACGGGTGACGCGGCAAATTTAAATTCAGCCTTTCCGTACCCGCGGGTA